CTAGATTTATCAACCATATTTTTATTTAGAAAAAAATATAATTAACTAAATAAATTTTAAGGTAAGTTAATTTACTTACCAAGCTGTTAATTTGAAACATAATTTAAAGTTGTGCAATGACTCTTACACACACGAGGACGGGGTGGCTTTCCTGAAGGCCATGATAATGGAAAGATATTAAAACGTGGCAAATGATCATCTTAGGATGCGTTTGTCAAGCATATAAATTATCCTATAACTTATTTGGTTAGTTTATAAATTTTTTGCATTAATATAAGTTTGGTTTGATAGGACAAACTTTTGTAAAAAACTCGAACTAATCTCATAAACTTTATTTGGTGATTTTTCAAATAAGTTCATTGAAATTTTATTTCAGTTAGCTTATTAACTAATTTTACCAAATACTCTTATCATATAAACTAGCCTTTCAACCATAAGTTATAAGTATCAACTATTCGAACTTCATTTAAAAGTTATAAACTAGCTTATCAGCTATGTTTGCCAAACATAGCCTTAGGGTGTGTTTGTATATAAAATAACCCAATTCATACTCAATCTATATTCAAAATCTAATTCAATTTCAAGTCAACCATATTATCCTCAATACTATTAATATAATTAAATAATATTAATATTCTTACACATCACATCATCTTTAACTAGTACGAATCCCGTGCGATGCACAGGTAAGAGTGAATACAATGATATTTGAAGGTAGAAGAACTATTGCGGCCTCATTTGCATCCGCTCGACATCCACTGCATGAAAAAGAAAAAAAAAATTAAACGTTAAGTTCGACTATGTTGTGCGGCTGAATGTGTATAGCATTCTCTAATCGAATACTTCCACATAAACATGTATCTTTTTGAAAAAAACAGAAAAGAAAACAAATAGTTATAAAATAGGGGAATTGATATGCACAACAACTTAAGAATATAGTGTGTGTTTAATTCTTGTATCTGTTTTCTCTACCATATTCTTCATCTTATGCATGACTTTGCCAAACTTAGCTACCCTCTATCTACCTAAAAATGTATAAATTTAGCCTATTTATTAAAGTATTCAACCTTTGGTTGATTCCATTCAGTGATTCCAGCTTGAGCAATTGATCTTTGCACCCTAATGACGCTCAATGTTGGGGGATCTTGATGATGCCAGTAGATATTCCACAAGGCTCCTGAAAATGCCCTTCTATGTGGTAGAAATTAAATAAATGAACATCCTAAATAAGTGATTTTTATTGAGAATTATTATTCATTACTGTACAACCCTATCAAACCAAAACCTAATCTGTGAGCCATCAGAATAGGACACTAACTCAAAATTTTAGTGCAATCCTTTTTCATATTGGTCATATATAGATTTTGTTAATTTAATGAATAGTTTAAGAATTAGCCAAAAGCTCTAATGCAGTGGTGCCTCTTCAAAGTATTTATCATCTCCTCATAGGCAAAACCGTTCTATTGATGTCACACATCATACAAATGAGGAAGTACATTTGCAAAAAAGTAGATTCTACACAACAGCAAGAAATACTAACAAATATAATTTGAAGAGAATAAAAGACCTATTTCCATGACAATATATAACACAAGGAAGAGGAGAGTTGTCCAGGAGCTGCAAAGGAATGTAATGGCTACACTTCAAGGCATGACCTCTTTCTTTTCTAAGCTGAAAATTATTAAAGAGACAAACTCTCAAAACTTCATATGGTAAATAGTTTCAGAACTGTACATAAAGATACATTGCATTAGTTAAATGTTAGAGGCTGGTTCTTCTAAACTGGCACAAAAAAATTGTAGTGATGATCACTATACTCCATAATAACTCTGCATAATCACAATTCACACAAATTGTCAATAAGAAAACAATAGGCCTAACAGAAACTATAATAAGGTTCGAAAGAAAAAAAAAAATGCGGACATCAATTGTCCAACACAGGACAATTTCTTTCCAAATCCAATATTCTAATTTTGTCACAATGTCAGCTACAAACACTACCAAATCACTAAAACCCATAAAATAACGTTGGAATGCTACCTTCTCATCGCGCTTGAGAGTCGAGCGCTCTGCCAACGGCAAAGACGAGTAGATCCCGTGTCTATCTCAACAAATTAGCAGGAGTCTTGTTTTTTTTTTTTTTTACCAAAACGACAGAGAGCAGGAGTCTTGTTAATTGTCTCATTTTCCAAAATTTTCCACCCTTTTATCTGTAAATAATGTAGATATTAAGCAAAAGTTTTACAGTATATACCTTCTCATTAGTCACCCATGATCAACGCCCTGACCAGCCACCGCCATCCTTGACCGTGAGCTGTCGCCAACTTCGAGATCTGGACGCCGCGCGTAGCGCGGTCGTGTTGATATATCGTCGGGCTACCATAGATATGAGCTGCAGGAGTCACCCGCACGAAGTTTCGGTCAGACTTCCATCAGTCGCCATCAGCCCGCGGCTGCTGGTAGTTTGAAATTCAACAAAGTCCTCGATTGACCCTTTTTCGTCCCCGTCGAGGTTCATAAGTGCAGTCCGCCACCGGCCGTCAACTATACCTCAGGCGAAAGAGAACAGTAACATAAGCATTAGCATAAAAAAATGGCAGTGACAACAAACATTAGGGTCTCCACCTATTATTTGAAATGTAAATGATATAGTAGTAAGGTTAAAAAAATTAGAGTCATAGCAAGGTTTTTAGAGAGGTTTACATATGTTGTAGAATAAATCAAATGGGTTTTACATATTTGCATCAAGCTTAGGTGACCTATCACCAACCGGCATGCACAAAAGCTTGATATCAACATTAAGATCAATGTTCTATTAAGTATAACACAAGAGCTCATACAAATGTGTCTATATATTAAAGTTTAAAAATAATAAAATATATTTTAAAATTCAATATACCTGAATAAATTTAATGTTGTGCGCATCTTCTAAAATGATCCCCTAATAGAATCAAGATGTTATTGATGTCTTTTGCCTTCAGATATGCCATTAAGAATCACCTGAGACAATAAACTCCTTGACAATTTAGTACGTGCATGCTTTGTAGTTACAAATTAAGAATATGGAATATGTTAAAATCTAACCTCATATCGACGAAATTATATTGTAGATTGGCAGATTAAGGAAACAGAAGAATTGCACACAGAAACAAATAGAGATATGAACTTCTATTTATTTAGGAGTTCTACTATCAACCAAAAATATGGATAGGCATTAGGCAATTAATCTTCCAAATCCAGATCAAATTCCAGAGTCAGTTATATATGAGCCTGAAAATTAACAAATCCAATTTCTGGTCAAAATTGCAAAAATCCTAAAATTATCTTCCGTCGTCCATCATAACACATCAGAGTTTCAATCAGTGGGTATAAAAACCAAAACCACATGTCACAGACCACATCAAATTTTCAATTAGTGGGTATAGAAACCAAAACCATCAACAGTAAAGCAACCAAAGGAAGGAGTGTAAAAGTTATACCTCTGTATGAGACTTTAAAAAATCCAGAAGCCGGCTACGGAAAACCTTCCTCAACCACAAATTTTCGCTAAGAGATTGAGACGGGCTCTTGCTTTGGATTGCTTCAGCATTCAATAAGAGAGGATGGGGCGGCGGCGTGAGGCGAGGTCCAGGCGGAGGCTGAGGTAAGGTCGATGCGGAGACGTCTAACACTTTTCCTCTCCGGCGGGCGGCTTGAACTGGAGTTGAGACGAAGAAAGAGCGGACGGGGCTGCGGAGTGTAAGAAGTTGAAAAAAATGGAGAAAAGAAATAAAAACCCTATCAGTGTATGTCGTAAGAGCACAAGTCCCTTGGTTGATTTATCAAAATTCCCTCATATCTCCATGTCGGGGAGGATGGCGGCGGCGAGCTCGTCGAAGTCGACAGCGCCTTTGTCGTTGGCGTCCATATTGGCGAGGAGGCGTGGATCTGGTCTCTGGAGGACTTGAGGCCGAGAGACCAGAGGAGAGCGGCGAGCTCGAGCTGGGTGAGGCTACCGTCGAACCGCTTGAAGTAGTTGTAGTGCTGACGGATTTGCTTTGCCATCGCGATTTTGGCCGAAAATATTTGGGGATAAAAAGAGGAAGTTTAGAGAGATAAAGAGTGATAGTTTTTTTGGAAGAGATCAAGGATATACTAAAATAATTCTGTCAATCTTTCCTAAAACTTAGCTCCCAATTTTTAGGAAAATCTTATTTTTAAATTTTTGAAAAATTCAAATATATTTGGTAGAGGCGGGATATTTCAATTTTTGCCAAAATATTACCTAGTAATTCTGAAACTTTAGGCGGGAATTGAAATTTTTTTTTTGCTGATTTTTTAGTTGATTTTTTCAAACAACTATCATTCCCTCTTTATATATTAATAGATTCTCTATCCATCCACTCACATAATTTTAACTAATTATTACTTTATATTATCTTTCTCATACTTTTAGATCACATCAACTTTAATCATTTTATTTTAAATATTATTTTAATATAAATAAAAAATACTACTAACAAATAACTATATCACATTTTTCAAAATTAATCATTCTTAAAAAAAACTCTTTTTGAACTTATATATTTATATGCAAGTATACAACTATGCAATTAACTATTTGAATGTTGTTTGACCGATTCAAATGCCAAAGAGCAAGCTGGATTAGGTAAATCGGATTTTCTTCACCAAAAGTCAACAGGTAACTCTTTCGTCATTAGACTCGCTCCAATTTTAAAATACACACACAATTCTTTTTAAGTTCTTGCAATTAAAACCACATCGTCCATTTTCTATTCAATCTAATTTCAGATCTTAAAGTATTACAACTCCCATATTTTTCTTCTTGCCCTTTC